TGCTTTGCTGTGGACGGGGAAGGTTGGCGATGCGTCTGCGTTCTGTGTCTGGGGATCTCGGGCGTTTGTCCACGACTTGTCTACGGACAAGCTGTCCCCTCGTGCTGTTCCCTGCGTCTTCCTTGGCTTCCCCCCTGACGCGCCGGGCTGGCAGTTCTACCACCCCACCTCGCGCCGTGTTCTGTCCTCCCAGGACGTCACCTTTGACGAGTCGGTTCCCTACTACCGTCTCTTCCCCTACCGCACTGCGTCCCTCCCCCCCCCGCCGCTCTTCCTTACGCCAGGTCCCCCTCCGGTAGACCCCCTCCCCCCTCAGGGTCCTGCCCCCTCAGGTGTGTCTCAGGTAGAAGCAGTCGACCCTGTCGAGGTAGCTGTTGACTCTGGTGCTGCTAGGGGTGCTGAGCCTGCGGGTGCTGGGTCTGGGGGTGCTGAGCCTGGGGGTGCTGACTCTGGGGGTGCTTTGCCTGGGGGTGCTACGCCTGGGGGTGCTGCGTCTGGGGGTGCTGAGCCTGGGGGTGCTGCGTCTGGGGGTGCGGAGTCTGAGGGTACTGGACCTGCTCGTGTGGCGTCTGGCGGTGCTGGGCCTGGAGGTTCTTCGGGTGCTTCGTCCCGGCGGGAGCTACTCTCTCCACAGGAGCTGCGTGAGTGGTTTGCCCGGCGCTGGAGGCGAGCTGCTGGAGATGGAGGTGCTGCGGGTGCTGGAGGTTCTGCTGCTGCTGAGGGTGCTGGTGCCGCGGGTCCCGGAGGTGCTAGTACTGGGAGTACTGGAGCTGCTGGGCCTGCGGGTGCTTCTCGTACTGGAGCTGGTGGTGCTGCGGGCGTCAGTGCTACTGAGGGTGCTGGAGCTGGACCCGCTGCGTCTTCTGGTGGTCCGGCTGGAGCTGGAGCTGCTGGGGGTGTTGGCGCTGAGGGTGCCTCTGGTGCTGGTGCCTCTGAGGGTACTGGAGTTGGCGCTGCTGGAGCTGGGGGTGCTGCTGGCGCTGGTGCTGTCGTTCGGGGTGCTGGTGCTGTCCCTTCTGGTGCTGGTGGTGCTGAGCGACCGCGGCCGTACTTCGTTCCGCTCCTTGAGCAGGTTCTTGGTCTTCCGCCCTCTGCTAGTCCGGCTCCTCCCTTAGAGTGTCCACCGCCTGTCCAGTCCGAGTCACAGTTACAACCTACCTCTCCTCTGCCTGCTCCTTCTCCCTACACTGGTCCTACTGGAGGTCTTGCTGAGCGTCGTGAGCCTGCGTCTCGTCCTGCGTCGCCTGTCCGTGCTGCTCGCACTAGTAGTCGTGGTTCGCGTCAGCGTCCTCCCCCTGTCCCCGGCACGCACCGGATGTCTCTGCGTCCCTCCACTGCTCCGCTGCGTGCCCCTTTGCCTTCTCCTCCTGAGTCCTCTCTTCCTGTTCTTGCTGACCCGGAGTCGGACTCCCTTCGTGCTGCCAGTCCTGCTATCACGCGTCTCCTTGCTACTGTCGTCACTGACCCTTCCTTTGCGTCCGCTGCTGCGTCTGCCTTAGTTTCTGAGCTTGTCGACTTCGCTGCTCGCTGTCGCCTAGACTACGCTGCTAGTCTTGTCGCTGAGTCTGAGTCTGTCTGTCCTCCGTCCGTCGGGGGTGAGTGTGCCCTTGGCACGGACGTCCTTGAGGACAGGCAGGAGGAGTTCCAGTGCTTTGCTGCTGCTTCACCTCATCTCGTGTCCATGCTGCTTGCCCCTGAGGGAGACCCGGATGCACCAGACATCCCGACTCCGCGCTCTTACGCGGAGGCGATAGAGGGTCCCTACTCCTCTCAGTGGCAGGCAGCCATGGATGCAGAGATGGCTTCCTGGAAGTCCACAGGCACCTACGTCGACGAGGTTCCCCCTCCTGGGGCGAACATCGTCAGTGGCATGTGGATTTTCAGGGTGAAGCGGCCGCCGGGTTCTCCGCCTGTCTTCAAGGCGCGCTACGTGGCTCGTGGCTTCAGTCAGCGGCAGGGAGTTGACTTCTTCCAGACCTTCTCTCCCACCCCGAAGATGACCACTCTTCGGGTACTGCTGCACATAGCCGCTCACCGTGACTACGAGCTTCACTCTCTTGACTTCAGCACTGCTTTCTTGTAGGGCAGCCTGCACGAGGAGATCTGGTTGCGCCGCCCACCTGGCTTCACTGGGTCTTTTCCTCCTGGTACCCAGTGGAGCCTCCGGCGGCCAGTCTACGGTCTCCGCCAGGCACCTCGTGAGTGGCACGACACACTGAGGACTACACTTGCGGCTCTTGGGTTTGCTCCTTCTACTGCCGACCCGTCGCTGTTTCTGCGCACCGACACTTCTTTGCCGCCGTTCTACATCCTCGTGTACGTCGACGACTTGGTCTTTGCCACAGCTGAAACTGCTGGACTCGCCCACGTGAAGTCCGAGCTGCAGAAGAGACACACGTGCACAGACCGGGGTGAACTGCGCAGCTACCTTGGCTTGCATATCACCCGGGACAGAGCACAGCGCACCATTACCGTGACTCAGTCACACATGGTGCAGCAGGTCCTTCAGCGCTTCGGCTTCACGTACTCCTCGCCTCAGGCCACTCCTTTGTCTACTCGCCACTCGCTCTCAGCTCTGCCTTCGGATGAGTCCGTAGAGTCGAGTGGCCCGTACCCAGAGCTTGTTGGCTGCCTCATGTACCTGATGACCTGCACTCGACCTGACCTTGCATACCCTCTTAGCATTCTGGCACGCTATGTTGCTCCTGGGAGACACAGACCAGAGCACATGGCTGCAGCGAAGAGGGTGTTGCGCTACTTGTGCAGTACGTCGGGCATGGGGCTTGTGCTTGGAGGGCGGAGTCCAGTGGTCCTCACTGGTCACGCAGACGCTTCTTGGGCTGACGACCAGGCTACGCAGCGGTCGTCACAGGGTTACACCTTCAGCCTTGGTTCCGGCTCTGTTTCGTGGCGGTCTACCCGCTCGTCTTCTGTTCTCGGCTCCAGTTGTGAGGCTGAGATCTACGCAGGGGCCATGGCTGCACAGGAGCTACGCTGGCTCACCTACCTGCTGACTGACCTAGGAGAGCCGCCTCGTTCTCCTCCAGTTCTGTACGTAGACAACAAGGCTATGCTGGCCTTGTGTCGGGAGCACAGACTGGAGCACAGAACGAAACACATCGCTCTTCGCTACTTCCTTGCTCGTGAGCTGCAGCAGCGAGGTCAGCTGCGCCTTGCTTACGTGGCCTCTGAGGCCAACACTGCTGATATCTTCACCAAGGCACTTGCGCCTTGTGACCATCAGCGCTTCTGTACTCTGTTAGGTCTTGTACCTACCTTGCCTCACTTGCTCACTTCTTGACCTTGCTTGTACTGTTACATATGTATATACCTGCTCTTGCTTGTTTAGCGTTATATATATGTGTGTACTCATGCATGTGAACTGGCCTTGTGGCCTTGAACTTGTGCTCAGAATGTGTGGTGACGTTGTGATCCACCCTGAGCTTGCTTTGCCTTGCTTTGCTTGACTGGTCTTGTGACCCCTTGTTCTCCCCCACTTTGCCTATGGAGGTGTGTCAAACTTATATGATCTAGCCTGTGTAGGCTGTAGCGGGTTAGATACTAAGGGGTACACAGTTCTAGGGTTTCACATTTGTATCACTTTCATTCCTTAGTCAATCCATTCTCGTTCTAAGTTTCTCATGAACTGCCCTTGTGGCCTTCTTGCTTGTGCTCAGACTGCGTGGTGACGTTGTGATCCACCCTGAGCTTGCTTTGCACTTCCTGACTGGTCTTGTGACCCTCTGTTCTCCCCCACTCTGCCTATGGGGGTGTGTCAAACATATGTATATCTATGTTATAGTTTGGGTAGGCTTAGTGGGGTACACACTGTGGGGTACAACCCCTTAGGTTCATTTTTCTTTGTACCAACCCCCTCGATAGTCGACATCACTTTAGCCTACGATTATGACAGTGTCTCTACGTTCCTCTTGTTATCTTTTTATCCACCGGGATCATTTGCACTCAATCCAACCCTTTTTCCATGTTCAGAGACTGTGAGAACAGGTCGTATGCATGGTGACATGTCATTATGAGAAATAGACATAATCCAACCCTTCTTCCATGTTCAGAGATTCGATTATCGCCTCAAGCGCACCCCCAGTAAGCCCTCTTTTCACACACAGCACTAGTGGTGGTTTGGCTGCAGACCAATGGATTACCGGTAATGCTCTACCCGACTCATGGTGTGTGTTGTGTACACTGTACACTCCTCTGTGTCAGAGATCCACTGTTGATCCCCGATTGATCCTAGGGAAGGGTTACCGGCTCGTTGTCCTGGGGGGTTATGGGCGCACTGACCCGCTAATTAACAAGTCCTTTTATCCCAATGACCTAGTGGTTGGGATTCTGACATGCTATTAGATTTAATGTCTCGGGTCCGAATCCCACTGTGTGCACTTCGAGCATCCCAGTGCGAGGGGGTGTCAGAGGTCCACCGATGATCCCCGATTGATCCTAGGGAAGGGTTACAGACTCGTTGTCCTGGGGGGTTATGGGCGCACTGACCTGCTACTTAACAAACCCTTCTATCACAATGGTCTAGTGGTTGGGATTCTGACACTCTGCTACCTCCTTAGTGTCCAAACCACGTAAGGCAATCACCTGCAGCATGGGAAAAGGAGGTGCAACCGTATGGGCTGCACGCATGCTGACATGGCATTATGAGAAATAAACAAAATCCAATCCTTCTTCCATTTTCAGGGATTCGATTATCTCCTCAAACGCACCACCAGTAAGCCCTCTTTTCACACACAGCAGCAGTGGCGGCCTGGCTGTAGACCAATGGATAACTGGTACTGCTCTTCCTGACTCATGGTGTGTGTACACTCCTCTAGTTATCTTCTTCGCATCCACATCACAAAATGCAATCACCTGCAGCATGTGAAGACACCAAGCAACCACCCTCAGAACTCATATGTAGTGCCTTACAAGAGAGGAAAATGCAGGATTTTGCTGTGATGTGTGACTTCTGAGTCCACTTATAACGTGTTATGCAGTACCTTGGCTTGGTTTGATGGGGAGAGCGAGCGGTAGAGTCTCCTGCCCTCTTTGCCAGCATTCCAGATTGTGAATTCTTTCCAGCTAGAGCTGCTAGGCCTGCAAATAAAACAGAAAAAAGCGGGGTTGGCACGAGGAGAAGAGCGTTGAGCTGAACTTGAAAGATAAAAAAGATTGAGCTATATGAAGTCGGCTGGAACAGCTGATCAGTATGTTACACGCATATTCGTTTTATTGCACAAAGGATGATGCTGCAGGAACCATTTGATGACACTCATCATACTCCGTCAAGTTTTGTGAGTTTTCAAAACTGCAGAGGGGCGCAAAGAGTCGTACCCCGAAAGAATCTGTGCTTCAAGGTGTTTAACCCGCTGCTCCCAGATACTCTCCCAGGGGCAGCCTCGTGAGCCCGTCACGGATGCCGTGTGGAAGCGATACGTGACTAGAGGGTGGGGCACCTGCAGGTGAGAAGCAACACAAGGTAGTGTAAGCAACACAACACCGGGCTATATACTTCAAACAATGCTCTCAGATGCTCTCACAGGGGCAGCCTCGTGAGCCTGTCACGGATGCCGTGTGGAAGCGATATGTGACTAGAGACTGAGGCACCTGCAAGGGGACGTGACACAACACAGGACAGGAGAGGCAACACAGTATAGAGCAGTACCTTTAGCACAGTATAGAGCAGTACCTTTAGCACAGTATAGAGCAGTACCTTTAGCACAGTATAGAGCAGTACCTTTAGCACAGTATAGAGCAGTACCTTTAGCACAGTATAGAGCAGTACCTTTAGCACAGTATAGAGCAGTACCTTTAGCACAGTATAGAGCAGTACCTTTAGCACAGTATAGAGCAGTACCTTTAGCACAGTATAGAGCAGTACCTTTAGCACAGTATAGAGCAGTACCTTTAGCACAGTATAGAGCAGTACCTTTAGCACAGTATAGAGCAGTACCTTTAGCACAGTATAGAGCAGTACCTTTAGCACAGTATAGAGCAGTACCTTTAGCACAGTATAGAGCAGTACCTTTAGCACAGTATAGAGCAGTACCTTTAGCACAGTATAGAGCAGTACCTTTAGCACAGTATAGAGCAGTACCTTTAGCACAGTATAGAGCAGTACCTTTAGCACAGTATAGAGCAGTACCTTTAGCACAGTATAGAGCAGTACCTTTAGCACAGTATAGAGCAGTACCTTTAGCACAGTATAGAGCAGTACCTTTAGCACAGTATAGAGCAGTACCTTTAGCACAGTATAGAGCAGTACCTTTAGCACAGTATAGAGCAGTACCTTTAGCACAGTATAGAGCAGTACCTTTAGCACAGTATAGAGCAGTACCTTTAGCACAGTATAGAGCAGTACCTTTAGCACAGTATAGAGCAGTACCTTTAGCACAGTATAGAGCAGTACCTTTAGCACAGTATAGAGCAGTACCTTTAGCACAGTATAGAGCAGTACCTTTAGCACAGTATAGAGCAGTACCTTTAGCACAGTATAGAGCAGTACCTTTAGCACAGTATAGAGCAGTACCTTTAGCACAGTATAGAGCAGTACCTTTAGCACAGTATAGAGCAGTACCTTTAGCACAGTATAGAGCAGTACCTTTAGCACAGTATAGAGCAGTACCTTTAGCACAGTATAGAGCAGTACCTTTAGCACAGTATAGAGCAGTACCTTTAGCACAGTATAGAGCAGTACCTTTAGCACAGTATAGAGCAGTACCTTTAGCACAGTATAGAGCAGTACCTTTAGCACAGTATAGAGCAGTACCTTTAGCACAGTATAGAGCAGTACCTTTAGCACAGTATAGAGCAGTACCTTTAGCACAGTATAGAGCAGTACCTTTAGCACAGTATAGAGCAGTACCTTTAGCACAGTATAGAGCAGTACCTTTAGCACAGTATAGAGCAGTACCTTTAGCACAGTATAGAGCAGTACCTTTAGCACAGTATAGAGCAGTACCTTTAGCACAGTATAGAGCAGTACCTTTAGCACAGTATAGAGCAGTACCTTTAGCACAGTATAGAGCAGTACCTTTAGCACAGTATAGAGCAGTACCTTTAGCACAGTATAGAGCAGTACCTTTAGCACAGTATAGAGCAGTACCTTTAGCACAGTATAGAGCAGTACCTTTAGCACAGTATAGAGCAGTACCTTTAGCACAGTATAGAGCAGTACCTTTAGCACAGTATAGAGCAGTACCTTTAGCACAGTATAGAGCAGTACCTTTAGCACAGTATAGAGCAGTACCTTTAGCACAGTATAGAGCAGTACCTTTAGCACAGTATAGAGCAGTACCTTTAGCACAGTATAGAGCAGTACCTTTAGCACAGTATAGAGCAGTACCTTTAGCACAGTATAGAGCAGTACCTTTAGCACAGTATAGAGCAGTACCTTTAGCACAGTATAGAGCAGTACCTTTAGCACAGTATAGAGCAGTACCTTTAGCACAGTATAGAGCAGTACCTTTAGCACAGTATAGAGCAGTACCTTTAGCACAGTATAGAGCAGTACCTTTAGCACAGTATAGAGCAGTACCTTTAGCACAGTATAGAGCAGTACCTTTAGCACAGTATAGAGCAGTACCTTTAGCACAGTATAGAGCAGTACCTTTAGCACAGTATAGAGCAGTACCTTTAGCACAGTATAGAGCAGTACCTTTAGCACAGTATAGAGCAGTACCTTTAGCACAGTATAGAGCAGTACCTTTAGCACAGTATAGAGCAGTACCTTTAGCACAGTATAGAGCAGTACCTTTAGCACAGTATAGAGCAGTACCTTTAGCACAGTATAGAGCAGTACCTTTAGCACAGTATAGAGCAGTACCTTTAGCACAGTATAGAGCAGTACCTTTAGCACAGCATAGAGCAGTACCTTTAGCACAGTATAGAGCAGTACCTTTAGCACAGCATAGAGCAGTACCTTTAGCACAGCATAGAGCAGTACCTTTAGCACAGTATAGAGCAGTACCTTTAGCACAGTATAGAGCAGTACCTTTAGCACAGTATAGAGCAGTACCTTTAGCACAGTATAGAGTGTGGTTGCTGTTTCGTGACATGGCTAGTGGATGGGCAATCAGCGAGAGAACCCAGAGCAATCTCACCCTTGCATGCAAGACGAATGGTGATGCCCAGCCAGCCCTTGCTGCGCAAGCGCTGGTGAAAGAACACGAGGTCGCCTGGTGTGCCCGGCCACTCTAATGAGAGCCATCTGGTGGGACCAGTTCCTTCTTCCCCTGCCGTTTCCCCCCTTCTCCTACCCCCTTCGCCCCCCCGTCCTCACCTTGCCCAGCCAGCCCCCGTTGCGCAAGTGCTGGTGGAAGAACATGAGGCCGCCTGGTGTGCCTGGCCACTCTCACCGAAGGGACCTGGAGAACCATGCAGGACTCATAGTACCTAGGGGTGTCACAATTCAAGCAAACCCCCCTCACGCTGACCTTGCCCAGGAAACCCCCGTTGCTCAGGTGCTGGGGAAAGAGCATGAGGTCATCGGGTGTGCCGGGCCCGCTCTCATCAAAGGGACCTGGTGGACCATGCAGAGGCAAGAGGGGCCGGGACAGAGGCAACAGGAGCGCCACGCACCTGTGCTCACGCTCACCTTGCCTAGCCAGCCCCCGTTGCTCAAGTGCTGGTGGATGAACATGAGATCGTCTGGTGTGCCGGGGCCACTCTCATCAAAGGGACCTGGTGGACCGTGCAAGTGCAGAACGTGCCAGGGGGAATGAAAACAGAAGGAACCTCTGAACAGAGCTGCAGGACAGGACAGGTCTTCTGAGTTTTTTAAGGCGCCTTAAAAAGCTAGAAAGATGTCAGGGGCCAAAAGCAAACGAGGAAAAGCTGTACTAGCGATTTTGAGGCGCCTAAGAAAACACTACTACGTGCCTGAAGCATCAAAGACCTGTCGGGAGCAGAACCAGGTGGGGGCGATGAGGGTGGTTTCCACCAGCTGCTGCAGGTATAGCTGCTTTTGCGAGAGAGAGTTGGCCCATGCTGTGAGCCTCGGCGTGGCATCAGCTGGCAGGCGAACGAAGTTAGAACCCACCTGGATGGGGAATGGAAAGGCGGGGTAGGGGAGAGGGTGTTATTCCAGCTGGTGGTACAGCTATTGCTGCTGCTGCTGCTACTGCTGGAGGTACAGCTGTGGGTGCGAGAGGGAGTTGGCCCATGCTGTGAGTCTTGCAGTGGCGTCAGCTGGCAAGCGAACATCAAAGGTTATCTGAAATAGAACACACCTGCGGAGTATTTTCAGGGCCAGAACGAGTTTTGAGGTGACACAGAACTGTCTCCTCACACACACACACACACACACACACACACACACCCAAAAAAAAAAAAAAAGGTCTCGGGTTTAAGGTTCAAGGCCCTGTCTTACCAATAGCTTGCGGCTGCGTGAGGCGAGAGCAAGCTGTAGGGAGATGCGATCAGGAGCCATGATGTCATCCTGAAAGGATATAACGCGTATGAAGGATAAAAGGCATAGAAAGGGGTCCATAACGGTGATGCAAAATACATGATCATGATAACCAAAAACATAATAGTGTACAATGTGCCTCTCCATGTGCATGCGCATCTCATGTGCATTTTGACGTGGCAGGGAGATGGGGACGGACGAGTATTACTATGTACTACTAATGGTCACGCCCCATGCCCCATGCCCCACGCCCCATGCCCCATGCCCCATGCCCCATGCATTACGCCCCATGCCCCATGCCCCACGCCCCATGCCCCATGCCTCATGCCTCATACCCCATGCCCATTCCTCACTCAAACACTCTACCTAAGCCTCTCACCCCATCAGCGAAGCACAAGTATTCGCCCCGGCTGTGCTCTATGGCTCGGTTGCGCCCGAACCCACAACCCCTTGGCCGACTCCCCTCTTGCTTCCTCTCACTGGATCCTTCTGCGTAGCTTCCTCCATTGAGTCCTCTCAACAAACCACACTCCTCAGTATTAGCAACATTACTCCCACGATGCACATTGTCAGTGTCTCTGCAGTCCCCCAGGATTCTTTGGCCATCCTGCCAGCTGTCACGGGGGCCATCTGTCTGCTCATCATTGCTCCCACGATGCACGTTGTCAGTGTTTCTGCAGTCCCCAAAGCCATTTTGGCTATCTTGCCAGCTGTCAAGGGTGGTATCTGTCTGCTCTTTCAGGGCGGCAGTATTTGTCTGCTTGTCAATGTGTCCGTTCCTGCCGGGCAGCAGCATCTGTCCGCTCGTCAACGATCTTCAAGGCGATGCCTCGGGCGGCAAGAATGGAGCGATTCGCCTCGAGGATGGCTCGTGATTGGTCGATGCTCGGGCCGTCGTCGAAGACTAGAAGCTCCATGGGACCTTGGTAAGTCTGCACGCACACGCGTTACCACCATACTCAGTGAGGGGATGTTGCAAAAAAACATTTGATAGAATTAAAAGTGCTGGGCCCATCGTCAAATCCTTGAAGCTCCATGGGCCCTTTTTAAGTCTGCATGCACGCGGGTTACCACACGGACGACGGCACGATGGCGTGATGGCATGATGGTTGGCTTGGCAGGAGTCAGTGATACGCCTACGACACGCATGATGGCACCATGGCACCATGGAATGCACACCTGTGCTAGAATGGAGTCGATTGCTTCTTGCAGGAATGGCGCTGCATTGTGGATCGGCATGATGATGCTCACCTGGGAGACGTGCATTTATGCATGTTCAGTCATACATGTTCAGTCATACATGAATATTCATACATGTGTAGAGTGCATGCATGCATGCAGGGAAGCACATTTACATACGATAGCAAGCACACACAGCAGCAACGGCAATGCATTGTGGGTCGGCATGAAGATGCTCACCTGGGAGATGTGCATTCATGCATGTGCATAGATGGATACGCATTCATGCATGCATGGATGAACACACATTAACGTACAACAGAAAGCACACATATGTAAAAGCTGGCCGGCAGCACTGGCAACAATGGCAGCATTGGAAGCACAGAAGATCAATGCACTGTCAAGTTTCAATAAAACCGTCAAATCGGATGGTCATGTTTTTTCGTCAGGTTTTCTGCGTCAAAAGATTTCGGCTAGGCTTTTCCGTCAAGGGCAGTTCACCTACCAGCGGCATCGCACCGTCTGACAAACCGCTCTCTGCCACGTCATCGAGGTTCCACGTCAGCGGTGCGTCACGGGGAATGAACACCCGAACATCGCGTGAAATGGTAGAAACAGTAGCAGCAGCGCGTGGATCAAGGCTGGGCGTGGGGGTACCGGTAGACATACGGGATAGTGACATATGGCTGCGCCTTCACCTAGGCTCGAGCCGCGCTGGAAGGTGATTTAGTCTGTCTACGTATGAGTTAGCAAGGTGAGTTGTGAAATAGCCATGGAATTTCTCGGGATCTCCAGTGTTCGCCGTACTGCTGGCTCCGGTTTTGTGTATGTTTCCTTGAAATTGTTGAATGACTCCCAAGTTTGGTGTCACCACATGATATGCAATAAAAGAGATAGCATGCTAATAAATATGCAATGCAAGAATGATTGCCTGGGAAATGGCTAGCATATACAGCGTCTTTCTATTCATCATCCAGTTCTTTGTGCCTTTCCATCTGCCGACAAGGTGTCTAAATTGTTTGAACGACACAACTTCAATGACCCAACCGTTAGTGTCGATTTGAAACATCGTATCTTCTCAATAACATCAGTGTAATGCGTGTTGGATAAGGGAATTTTGGTATGTAGGTCCAAAAACGATGTGATCCACGTTAAATCATTCATTGTAAAAATCAATATCCTCACCCCTCCCAACCATCCATCATCCCTCCATACCCTTCGGTATTGTCTGTAAATTTTCCATCGCCTTCACCCACAGCCCTCCCCTCTGCAGAGCGCGCATGATAACAGCGAATGTGCTCATAGAGGGTACAAGACCCCGTGCCAGCATATCCCGATACACTTGCAGGGCTTCTAACGGCTCACCAGCAGCATCACAGGCAGCCATGGCCATGTGGTATGCCTCTATGGGCGCCTCTGCTGCTGCTATTTCTGCTGCTGCTGCTGCGGCAGCTGCAGCCGCTGCTGCTTCTGCTGCTGCAGTTCCTTCTGCGGTTTCTGCTGCTGCTCCTACAGCTGCTGCTGCTGCCACGGGCAAATCTGCTGTCATGCGAGTGTCTTCCTTTATCTGCGTCTCATCTGTTTTAGAAGTCTCCTCGGCAGCAAGTACAGGGCTAGGAGGGGACTTGGAATGAGAGTGGGAACGACAAGCATTGGCCTGTAAGGCCTGCCTGAGGGACCGGTAGTCCTCTAGCAGTTGCTTTGCTTCTTGCCACAGTCCCACCTCCTGCAAGAAAGCGCCACACACAATCGCAGATACATGCACACACAACGAAAATAATAATAATTTGCCCAGATCAGATAATATCCTGCAAGCTCTGCACATTCAGCTCAACCCAGCTCTTCAAACCGTCTACTCCTCCTCCCGCTAAACCCTCTGTCCTTCCCCACACCCCTTAGCACTCCCTTGCCCCAATCTCCTCCTATCCTACTCGCTATGTCTGTCAAAAGCTATTCTTTTCAACCCCGCTTAACTCACAGGCTCGTAACAGCGTCCATATCACTTTCTCCAACGCCCCATCCTCCTCCCTCTCGATCTCCCTCATCCTCCCATACACCTCCATGCCTCTTCGAAACCCTCCCCCTTCTCAATACTTTGTTTCTCGCACCCACCTCTAGTCCCTCTTACCTCACATGCTTGCAGCGGCATCCAGATCACATTCTCCAACGCCCAATTTCCCTCTTCTCCTACTCCCTACTTCAGTCCCCCTTACCTCGCAAGCTCGCAGCAGAGTCCAAATCACTTTCTCCAACGCTCCATCCTCCTCCCTCTCTATCTCCCTCATCCTTCCATACACCTCCATGCCTCTCCGCACGTCCTCCCTCCCCACCTCCCCCTCTCCCCCGCGCCCCACACATGCCCCCACGATGTGGGAGCACCAGAGGGGGAAGAATCGGCTGCTGTGGTAGCTGTGCGATGTGATTATATCGAGGAGGGAAGATGCCTCGTCAGCATCCCGCAGTGCTTCTAGTGAGGGTGCGTACAGCTGGGGGAGGGGCGAGGGGAAGAGGGGTTGGGAGGAAGGGGGAGGTTTGGGGAGGTGTGGGGAAGGGTGGAGGGGCGTGAATGCACTAATGGTGAGAGAGAGGTCTCAAAATCTGAGAGGTCTCAAAATCTGAGAGGTCTCAAAATCTGAGAGGTCTCAAAATCCGAGAGGTCTCAAAATCTGAAAGGTCTCAAAATCTGAGAGGTCTCAAAATCTGAGAGGTCTCCCCTCCCCCGTGCCCCACACACGCTCCCACGATGTGGGAGTACCAGAGGGGGAAGAATCGGCTGCTGTGATAGCCGTGAGATGTGATTGTATCGAGGAGGATAGATGCCTTGTCAGCATCCCTCAGTGCTTCTAGTGAGGGTGCATACAGCTGGCGGGGAAAGGAGGGGTGGGCGGGAGGGGAGGTGTGGGGAAGGGTGTGGAGGGGTGGACCGGAGTGAGAGTAGAGTGACTAATGCATTTATGATTGACAATGAATGGTGGGAAGATGTGTAAAAACGATTGGCGTAGCATGGTATGACATGGTATGGTGTGGCATGGAATGGAAGGGCAGGTATGGTGTCTACCTGCCTTGCCCTTACAGACACAAGCACACCATGGCTTACAGAGATCGTGTAATCATCGATCGGAACTTGCATCCTCTGCATCGCTCCAAACACCTCAACCGGGCCCTCCACTGCCCACCCGGTCTTATCAATCCCAATCCACATGTCCGCACTACCATTACCCGAAACCACCCTTCCCTGCTCTTTATTCAAGGGGTTTGGATTTACACTGCTGTACCCCCCCTTTCTCCAACCATCTCCCTCTTTAGATGCTGATTCCGAGCCTGATCTAATGGCCTCCAAACCTGCAGCCTCGGAACCTAACATAACGGTGTCTGAACCTGCGGCCTCCGAACCTGCAGCAGCAGCCTCCAAGTCAGGGCCTGAATCCGAACCTGAACCCGGACCCATGGCCATGCTGACCGTGCCTGAACTTGGGTCCAGACGAGGAGGGCTAATTTTCGAACCAGATTCCGTACCCGAACCTTGGCTGGAGGTTCGGGGGCTGGGCCTGCGCAGGGGATAGAGGGTGAGCACCACACCTCCCCCAAGTGAGCCTGCCTTCTTTGCCTTGCTATATGGAGGGGTGGCGCTGCCGGTTTCACTGCTGCTGTTGCCACTGCTGGTGCTGGTACTGCCATTTCTGCTGCTGCTGCTGCGGCTGCTGGTATTTTCTCTGCTGCCACTACTGCTGTTGGCCCTGCCTCCATCCTTCTTGCCACCCTTGCTGTTTACATTGCCTGCTGGTCCTCCCAGCATCACCATAGACTGCACTGACTGCATCAACTGCACAGATCCCACTGCTCCCGCCGACTGCTGCAGCCGTCTGGCATGTGCTTTCAGCAACGCGTTGTAAGAGAACGTGTCTGCCTGCAAGGAGGTTTTCAGACCCTTCTTCTGGGAATCTTGAAGGAGAGGGTTTCCAGAGGGGAGGAAGAGGCGCGAGAAGAGGGCAGCAGTGCGTCGCACATCCCCTGTGGACGCCAGAGCATCCAGCAGCGCGTTGGCTGTCTGCTGCTGCAGCACAATGCCGGATGCCACTGCTCGCTCTGTCACCTGCTGTGCCCGCTCGCCCCTCCCCGCCCGTGCCATCACTGCCACTATGCCTGTCAGGCACGCTGGTGTGGGGCGGATGCTGGGAGAGAGGGGTTGGGGGGAAAGCAAGGGAGGGGGAGCATGAGAGGGGTTCCATTGGCTGTCTGCTGTTGCTCGTGCCATCATTGCCACCATGCCTGTCAGGCACACTGGTGTGGGGCGGATGCTGGGAGGGGGGGGGGGAAGAGGCAAGGGCGGGGAAGGAGAAAGGGTCATAAAAGAGGGGCGTGAGAAATGCAGGGGCGGAGGGAACTGCAGGGGTGACATAGCATTCAATGCTCTAAGCCTCTGTAAGCTCTCACCCCTTACCCCTCCCTCCCACCGCCCCTTACCCCTCCCTCCCACCTACCTATTGCTGAATTGAAGTCCAGAAAAAGAACGGATCAGAACTTACTGCTGAAAGGCGCTCTCTCTCCCTTCAATGCCGGGTCAGAGTTGGACCGATTGTGGCCTTTGCACTCCCCCACCTCCCCACACAACCCCTTTCCTTCCCACTCACCCGCGTCGTTCCATGAGTGCCCACACGGCATCAGCCTCCCACCACAGGCCTCTCCGCCTGCACGCACTCAGAGAAGCGCTGCACATGTGTGCATCCGCCTTCACTGCCCTCTTGCTTGACCAAGTTGACCGAGTTGACTGAGTCGACCAAGAAGGCACTTTGGGTGGAACGGCAATTTCTCCCATTTTGCCCCTGCTTCCCCTTCCTCCTCCCCCACCCACCCCCCCTTCCCTTCCACCCACAGCTCCCCAAAACACCTCCAACGCGCCTTCATCCTGGCCTAGCGCCACCTTCGCTAGAATCACCTCCGTTACAGTCACACAGTCCGGCTTGACACACACTCTTCTCTGCCAGTCAACGCCTTCTGGCAGATCCCCGTTATAAGCACAATTACCCCTGACACTGCTGGCACTGCTGCCACCACTGCCGCTATCAACACTCCCCCCTCTGTAGCCTTGCCGTGCTGCTGCTCTAACCTTCCGAGTTGACTCACGAGTCACTGCACGAGGTGACTTTTGAGTTGACTCAAAAGTCACCTTGTAGCCTTGCGCTGCTGCTGCTGCTTCATTCTTACGGGTTGACTCACGAGTCACTACTCGAGCTGCTTCAAGCATCCCCAGCAGCTCTCTCACTCCCCTCTCCTCCTCTTCCCAAGCCCTCTGAACCTTCCTCGCTCCCTTCTCTCCCGGACAGTCCCCTGTGTCCCTTTTCTCTGCCTTCCTCTTTTCAATTCCTTGAAGCTGCCTCTCCAGCATCAGCAGCCGGCCTGTTCGCCCGAATTCAGCCCAGTCTCCCAAAGTCAAACCAGTCAACCCGCCACTCCTCTTCCCCTCCCTCTCCCCTCCACCCCCCTCGCTGCCCTCACCATCACCCCCTTTCAGCAACTCCACATCTCTCTTTCCATCCCCCTTCCCCCTCACCAACACCTCCCTCTCTATGCTTCCCTCCTCCTCCTCCCTCCCTGTCAGCAGGTCATACAGCAGTAGTCCTGCTGCCGCCCGGTTGGCTCGTCTCATTGCCAGCATCAGCGTGTTGAGGGTGGCGGCGTCCGGCAGTATGTGCAGCGCACCACCATGAACAGTGCCACCGTTACTATCACCACCATCAACAGTGACGGCCTGTGCTATCCACCGGAGCCCGGCAATCATCTCAGGGAGGGCGGCTGCGGGCATCAGCGCCAGCTGGCACACGTGGAGATACTCATTGAATGCCCGGAGCTGCAGGTACCACCAGGGGGGGTCATTGCGGCAGTAGGGGCAATGGCACGGAAAGATGAGGGAGTGATGGGAGGAGAGATGGTGGCAGCGCCAGCTGGCACACGTGGAGATACTTGTTGAACGCCCTTACCTGCAGGCATGGGGTGAAGAAGGAGAGGCGGTTTCATTGGAGTAAGCTGGTTGTTGAGAACTCTCAAATAGCAGTAGTGGCAATGGGAGGGGAGGAGGAGGCACCACAAGCTGGCACACGTCGAGACCCTCGTTGGACGCCCTTACCTGCACGCATGGGGCGGTTGAGGCGGGGGGTAAGGACACTTTGGGTTCACGGGGCCGTAGTGGCTCTGACAGCGGAAGGGGCGGGGGTGATGGGGAAGGGGAGGAGGTGACAGCGCGAGCTGGCACGCGTGGAGACACTCGCTCAACGCCCGTACCTGCAGGAAGCAATGGGGGCGAGGGGAACAGTAGGGAAGATGCGGGGGAATGGGGGAGGGAGGGGGGAAAGGTTGCGGTAGACATGGAGGTTCACTTTCTCTTCCCTCGACCGGACCATCATTCCCACTCACCGAAACATTGTGTGCCCCCATCTTGTCGCACAAGCCACAGAACACCCCTTTCACCACGGCCCATGGCGCCCTGCCTGCTGCAGCTGCTCGCATGGCCGTCACACTCGCAAACTCCAACGCACTGCCGCTGAGCGACCCCTTTCGCCCCTTTTGAATGGTGGGCTCGGCAAATGGCCGTGTTGCACCGTTGTCGTCATTCACACCATCGGCGTCACCACAACCCTCCTCATTGTCACCCTCGTTCTCATCTTCATCCTCATCTCCTGCATCATCCACCCACTGATATTTTGCATTTGGTCTCCCCTTCACCACCCCTGGACTGCTGCTGCTGCTGTCGTTGCTACTGCCCAGCTGTCAGTCGAACGAGTCAAGAAAGTCAACAGCTTTCTTCCACTGCCCTCCGTTCCTGTAGGCCAATATGAGCTGCTCACACGCATAGAGAGAAAAGAACAGGAGTAATAGGTTGAAACTAGGAATTATTTGATAAAGATAAACTGTACAAAAGTGTACAGATCTACACATGTGCTCCTGGCACCTTTTCTTGAGGCTATCCACGTCATTCCACACTCATCCACGTCACCTTGCATTCATCAACATTACCGTGCATCATGTCACATTGCATCTATCCACGTCACATTGCATCTATCCACGTCACATTGCATCTATCCACGTCACATTGCATCTATCCACGTCACACTGCATCATCTATCCACGTCACGTTGCATCTATCCATGTCATCTTGCATCTATCCACGTCACCTTGCATGCAGCCACGTCACTGCCCTCCACACCACAAGCCTCCATGTCACCCCATGCCGCCTCCGCCCTCCTCCAATCACCCTCCCTCGCATACGCCCCCAGCAGCACACTGAATGAATAGACATCCGGTTTCACACCCCTCCCTCCTCCTTGTGCTCCTCCTGAGGCATCTACTTGCTCTTTACTATCACCAAGCACATCCAGTGCCATGTCTCCCCCTGCTCCTTCCCATCCCTCCCACACTCTCCCCTTGTCGCGAAGTGTCAGCACCAATCCCTCTGCCTCTCGCACCCTGCCGGCTTCACACAGGGCGAACAGCACTGCGTTATACGCTGTGATGTCCGGCGCAGGGAGAGCAGGAGGAGCAGCAGCGGTGGCAGCAGCTGTGGGAGCAGCACGGACAGCATCGGCAGCAGCAGCAGGTGCAGCAGCAGCAGGTGCAGCAGCAGATGGGTGAGAAGCAGGGGGAGCAGTAACAGAAGGGGGGGAAACAGCAGGAGGAACAACAGAAGGCCTACGTACCTCCTCCATCCCACCAGCCCCCTTCCCATCCTCCCCCTCCTCCTCCATCCATCTAAGCAGCAGCAAAGCACCTTCCACTCCCCGCAAATCCCACAACTCACCACTCCCTTTCATTCCATCCATCCGCCTCTCCGGCCTCCTCTTTCCTCCATTTCTCCCATCCCCTCTCCCCTCTGACCTACCCTTCCCTCGACCCTCTCCCCTCCCCTTCCCTTTCCCATCTGACTTCCCCAGGGCTACCAGCACATCAGTGTAATGGGCCACACTCCCCCTCTATCTCTCCCCTCTGCTACTGATGCCACTGCTGCTGCTGCTGCTGCTGCTGCTGCTGCTGCTGCTGCTGCTGCTGCTGCTGCTGCTGCTGCTGCTGCTGCTGCTGCTGCTGCTGCTGCTGCTGCTGCTGCTGCTGCTGCTGCTGTTGCTGCTACCACCAGCACTTCTTGCCTTCGCTGCTGCATCGGCTGCTGCTCCTTCCGCTCCTTTTTCTGCCGCCACTGCTTCCGCTTCCCACGTGTCGTTTTCCAAGCATTGGAGAAGCTTCCACGCTGCTTCGCCCTGGCCGATCACCCCTAGCCTCTGTAACAGTGGCAGGAAACGAAGGGAGGCAGCAGGGCAGGATGGTTGAAAGGGAAAGGTGATCAAACATCGTTCAATTACACTTGAAGGAGAAGCAGAGATATTGATGATGCATAAGAAAAAAAAATCACCGTCGAAGGAGTAAGATGGATTTGTGAAGGGAAGGCAGCAGAGATGACAGGGAGAGCACAGCATATGCCCAATCACCCACGCACCTTAACCAGCTCATGTCGAGAGGCTCTAGAAGCTTCCCTATCTGCCCCCTTGCCTGATACCCTCCTCCTCACAACCACACACCTTCGCCACGGCATGGAAGCGCCTGTGGTCGCTCCTAAGCCAGTTCCAAGTGAGCTGATTTTTTTGTTGACACAGCAAAAAGTTCCCGTGCCTGTGGTGGCACTTCAGAGTACCCACCCACCTACCTTCACCACAGCGTGGAAGTGCCTGTGATCGCTCCTTAGCCAGGACGCAAGCGCCCTCACATCCAACCGCCCCTCTTGCTGCTGCCCCTTCTGCCCTTGCTGCTGCCCTTGCTGTTGCCCCTGCTTCTGCTGCCCCTGCTGCTGGTGCTGCTTCTGGCGTTTGTGGCGGTTGGGAGAGAGAGTGAGCAGAACTGCTTGCACCTGCCAGAGATAATGGACGGGGGAAAACAACGGCGGTCGAAATAACAAGGGGGGAATGAGGGAAAAATAGCGATGGACAATAACGAGGGGGAAATAATGGGGGGGGGGGAGATTATGAGGACGAAATAATGAAGGAGAAGTGACAGGGGCTGTTGAGGGAGTGAGGGAATGGAACAAGGGCGGTAAAGGGGAGCAGCAACTGACACAGTGGGCGGCAACATCTCGGAAGCTTCTGGCGTCAATAGTGAGAGAGTCGGTCGAAGCTGCCAGGAAAGCGCGCTCCTGATTCCAATCTCCCTGGTCAGCGGCAGAAGCAACAGCTCTTGTCCCTGCATCTGCCCCTGTCCCTGCCCCTGCTGCTTCTGTTCCCCCTGTTTCCCCTGCTGCCCCTTCACCCCCTGCATCCGCTGTCCCCGTCCTTATCCCTGCCTCTGTACCATCATCCGCAGTCCTCCGCCTTCCCTCATCCGCCTTCCCCAAAGCCTCCGAAACTCCCCCAGGCCCCTGCACCCCCTGCCTCCCCTGCCCCCCAGGCCCCTGCCACCCTTCTCTCCTCCAGATTCCTCTCCTCGCACCGCTCGCGTCTCGCCGCCTGGGTGCTGTTTTCCCGATCGCAGCCGTCCGTTCAACCGACGCGCCATCTCCCACCGCATCTCCACCGTTGGTTACTGCTTCCGCCCGCGCTGCTGCTGCCCTTAAGGGCGCGCGCCTGCTTTGTGGCGCGCGGGCAGTGCGGAACGGATTGGACGGCGCGGAAAGGGTGGGGGAAGGGGAAGGCAGCGGAAAACGCGCGAGCAGCTTTTGCTGACTCCCACGAGCAATTATCCGCGCTGGAGGGTGAGAAGCGACTCGGGAAACGCGGAGAAGCGCTGGAGGACGCGCGCGCGGAGTGGCTTGGGGAAGGGAAGCGGAAGCCTGCGCAGCGGAGCAGGCGGGAAGCGATGCTTGATGCCTCAAGGATTCCATTTCCCGTTTGTTGGATTCTTGTCAGGGAATGTCAATATAAGTTGGAAACGGATCATAGATTTTGACTTTGACTATTTATCCTCGTTATTGCCCCAACATCAGTCCTCTACATAAAGCGTCAGTGTTAGGGACAATGACATGTTGGCACAAACATGGAATCTAGTTTCCAGACTAGGAGTAGGGAGAAAACTTGGAGGATCCTATAAATGCAACTGCAATGCAAAACATGCCCAATCACAAATGGCAAAAGGACCTGACTGAAAGACGCACAATATCCCTTCCGTCATTCAAAACTGGATTTGTTTGCAAAATGATTTTATCATTCGCCTGTGTTGGGCTGAGAAAAACACTTAGGATCGTTTTCAAGACTAGAGTCTCAGAGTAGTGATGTATTAGCGGAAGCATAATAGTGAATTAATTGAACCTGGTATGTGAGAACAAGATAAGTTGATAATAGCAAAGAGATACAAAGCTTTATATGATTACAAAGGAATATGAAAGGTTTCACTAACTGTAACTGATGTTGCGGTTCGATACAGCGACTACTTGGGTAATTGCTCAATAGTGAGTTATGTGTCCTTGCTGTCGCGCTGCTTTTCGGCGAGTCAAGGTCGCTGACCTTTGACCTTCACTCAACCTCTTGTTGTTGTCTTTCTGTCAACCGCTTTGGTTGACTCGCTGTTGCTTCGCTTCAGTTCGCTTCGCTTTTGTTGTAGTGCTCGACACATCAGAAGCGCGAACTATATGTTTCCAACAGCCTGCAAGCAAAAAAAACATAACAAATATAAGGTGAAAGCACACAAGCCATATATAAGTAACAACTCAATTGGAAAGTGTAGGCTGCTGCTGATGAGGGATACTCGACAAGAAATTCACTGGTAACGCTGAAGGACATTAGTGGAGTGCATACAGTGAAGGTGCCGGGTTGCAGGAGAACCCACCTGGTGTTGTCAGCTCGATAGAAGGCATACATCTGCTGTTGGATTGCTTGCCGCGGCTATTGGCTCGCTCGGGACAACTCTTGTCTCGACCGTAACGGATGTTGACTCGACTGCACTGCCTGTTGAAGGTGCAGGGTCGCAGGACGGCCCACCTTGCCTTGTCAGCTTGAGAGAAGGCAAACATCTGGCGTTGGGTTGCTTGCCGCGCCTATTGGCTCGCTCGGGACACCTCGTGCCTCGGTCGCAACGGCTGCTGGCTCGACTGCAATGCTCGTCGCCTCGATTGTGATGGGTTGCAGGACGGAGGGCCCACCTCATCGTCAGCTTGAGAGAAGGCGGGCATCTGCTGTTGGGTAGCTTGCCTTGCTTGCCACGTCTATTGGCTCGCTCGGGACAAATCTTGTCTCGACCGCAACAGCTGTTGGCTCAACTGCAATATGTGTCGCGTCAATTGTGATGGCTGTGTGCTCGATGGTTCTGCCTGTGAGCTCGACTGTTAAGGCTGTTGACTGACAAGGTAAAGACACTGGCTTGCTTTCTTTGTCTGCTAGAGGGCAAGCCAAGGGCGATGAGTTGCTTTCTGTGCTTGTCTGGCAAGTCAAGGGCGTTGACTCGCTTGGTGTGCTTGTCAACTGGCAAGTCGAAGGTGCAGACACGCTTTCCTTGGCTGCTGGATCGCTGTAGACGAGAATCTGGGACAGCAGCACCACGTGAGACATGAACCCAACAATGCTTGACACCACCACTGCATGCATACACATGAGGGAAAGGAAAAAGAGAAGAGAAGAGCCATCAGAGTCTTGCAGTATGGAAAAGGAAAAGGGGAAAAATTACCATCAGTGGTAGGGTGCTCGTTCCTGAATGCTGGTGAAGAGTTGAGCTGTTGGCGATAAGAGGCAGGGAGAGAAGAACAAGGGGCAATGGAAGAACAAGGGACACGGGACGGGTGAGGATGGGAAATAGCGAGAAGGCAAGTGTTTAGGCGGCAGCCGATAAGAAGGTAGGCGAACAAGTGGGGGGTACGGCAAGCGGGGTGCGAGTGCGGTGACTCAGCCACACACTCACCCACACATTTAGAGGGTAAAGGCGAATCGGGGGCGGGTGCAATGCAGTGACTCACCCACACATTTAGAGGGTAAAGGCGAATAGGGGGCGGGTGCAATGCAGTGACTCACCCACACATTTAGAGGGTAAAGGTGAATAGGGGGCGGGTGCAATGCAGTGACTCACCCACACATGAGCCAGGACTCATGGAACAGGTGGCAAGGCTTAGCAGTTCCATGCCGTGCGTGAAGCCTACTCGCTAGAGGGTACAGCAAACAAGGGGCGTGTGCAGTGCAGAGCAGAGCAGTGACTCACCCACACACAAGCCAGCGCTCATGGAACAGGTGGCGAGGGTTAGCAGCAGTCCCGTGCTTGAAGACTACTTTCTAGAGGGTAAGGATACGCGCAGGCAGTGCAGTGGTGACTCACCCACACACGAGCCAACACTCATGGAACAGGTGGCGAGCGCCGGCAGTGCCACTGGCGGCAGCAAGGGCGCCCTCTCATGGCCTTTTAGGGGTCTCGCGGGGAAGGTATGTTGCGACGGCGGGGAGATGGCCCACGACGTTTGAGGCGCCTCAAAAGACGGCGGCGGGGAGACGGCCCACGAGGTGGCCTTTGGGATGAGGTGGTGACGGTCGGCCATAGGTTCGGCCATAGGGTCGACCATAGGTTCGGCAATTCTCCCAGCCAATGAGTTGGCCATTCTAACGTCAATCGCCGGTTCGAATATCATGGGATGATCGGCCTTGGGTTCGCCGCCTACCCTAAACCAGGTGACAGGTTCGGCCATGGCGCTCGCCTTGGGAACTCCGACAACGACAATGGCGTGAGGCGGCATATGCCGCTCGGTTCGGCAACACAATGATTGCGTCAACCACTGGCAGTCGAATCAAGGGGTCGGCCATGCCACTCGCCTTGGGTTCTCGAAGATTGACAATGCTTTTAATCGCCGTCGCATCGGCCATACTAGGTTGGGACATAACTCTTCGCATTATGGCCATCGCCGTCGAGGGTATGACACTGACTTGAAGCGTAGGAGACGGGATGAGTCGAGACGAGGCGACGCGAGGCGCCGAGGCGAGGTAAGGCGAGATGAGGGAGGCACAAACCGCACAGGTGGGTAGACTACTCTCCTTATTAGTTATGTACGGTTTAGGGTCCCATCCGTGGGCGCTGGTGACTCCGCGTCGGGAATGTGATAAGACGAGGCGAGGGGAGGCGAGACGATGAGCTCGCTCTTGTCTCGCCTCGAGAGCCCACTAGTCGGAGGCCAAATCAACTCCAAACGACAGGAGCTTGAAGGGGTAGGGGGGAATGGAGGGGGAGAGAGGGGGGGGAAGAGGGGGGGGGGGAGGGGGGGGAGGGGGAGTGGTGGGCGCGCGCGACGACGGCGGAAAGCGCATACTAAATACTAGTCCATATCCCAGTGGATATTCCAGTAAAAGCCATCCTGGAGCACTATGGGCCGGAGGGGGGCACTTGGGGGGTAGATGGGGGGGACATCGCTCCCCCCGGAGGGAACATCGGCCCCCGGGGGGAACATCGGCCCCCCAGGGAGGAACATAGTCCCCCAAGGGGGGAGGGGGTGGGGGTAGGCGCGATTTGCCGGCACGTGCAAGGAATGAGGTCAGTGTGTGGCCAGTAGTGTATGCTGGTGATGATTCTCTGCTGTCCAGACCAGATGATCTCCAGCAATGACAGGACGGCAAAATGACCTTTTTTTAAGGTAACAAAGAAGTTGTCGAAGATCTGGGACAGGAAAAGGATTACACTGTAGGGAGGGCAGGCGCCCCTCAATGTTCATAACAACAAACGCTGTGCATAACTTTCAAGACTCCCAAACCAAACCAAACCAGAGCCGCTGTATGTAGTGTTAGGTTTTGGTCCTTCAATTGGTTTGGTTAGGGTGTCAGGTTTGGTTTGGAATTTGGTAAGGGCGTGGAACATTTGGGAAATTTTCCGAAGGAATCGTACCGCCTGAACGGTTGAAAATGGTCCATTTGTTAAATGCTTTGGTGGTTTCAATACATTTCAGAGCGTTATTTTTCCGAGCCGTACGTTGTTCGTTCGGACAAAAAACCCAAATGTTCCACGCCCTAAGTGACCAACAACGGCAGCTTTGCGTGGCGGGTAGCGAGCCCGCGACACGCTTACTTGACAAGTTCTATGGAGAGAATGCGCTCCGCGCACTTCCTGCACTAACTTTGTTACGAGTGCAATTGAGAAAGCTTGCTTTCTGTTCTTGCAAAGGCCTCGTGCTTCATTACAATTGCAGTAATTACAACATTCTCGTCCAAATAGACTATACAAGTTGCGTATACGACTAGGGTGGGTGGGTGGGGAGTGGAACTGCAAGTTCCAAATGAAGACGTGGGTGGAGGCCAAATGGCCTCCAACCCTCGTTATGTACTCGGCGAATTGTAATTCGCCGTTGCCTTGCTGCGATACAGACAGCTGCGCTTTCACAATACGCATTTTTAGAAAGTGTTACACACTTTCAAAAATTTTCATATTGAGTGAGCGAGCGAGGATTGCACTATCGAGGCAAGAATACAATGAGCGAAGGATTGAGCGAAGAATATATAGCAAAGCTATGGTGGTAACGGTAACGTGGGGATTTAGGGTGCGCGACGGGCCTGGTGCCGAGGTTGGGGACTGTCGAGCTGGAGGTCCGGAGCGCGGGTTACCAACCGAACCGTGAGGTTGGGTCGCATCGTGAACAGTGGTGGGAATGGTGTCGAGGCGAATGTCGCGAGTGGTAACGGAATATTGTGGGGTGCTGTTGGCGGGAACAGTGGTGTACGCGCTAAGCAGGGACGCGAAGTAAGGAAAAGGAATTTTCCTTACGAGAGCGCGTGTATATCTCGGAAATTGCGGCTGCGCAGGTACTCGTTGAGGACGGGGTGGTTCTCGACATTGCCTAGGGGGACCCAATTGTCCTCGGTGGGTGTGCGATCTCTCCAGCGGATCAAGAATTCGACCCTTCGTGCTCCTCGTGGGTCGCGAACTCGA